ATAAAATTTTTATTTTTTTCTTCACAGAATTGAAAATTTCGTGAGGAAAAAGATGACACAAAACGAATTTGATAACACTAATAATTAGTAAAGATTTAAATAAATATTACATTCCCGTATTGAATAATCCGCTTGGAAATTTACAGTAGGATGAATTTTTAATTAAGCAACCAGCATTTTATTGGCAAATTATTCATATCAAACAAGTATTATCTGAAATAACGCATCGTTCCTATTAAACGACTGTCTGCTTCCAGTCCATATACAATGGCTTCATTTTCGTTTCGATGAACGCTTTCACTTATAAACTTTTACTTTAAAAATCGCACGCTTTCGAATGTGGGACGATTTCGCCCTACGGTCTTCTTCCTTTTATGTAAGCTTCGTTCTATACAAAATAATACGACAATAAAGAGAAGAGAATGAAAATAACTTAACTGAAAAGTTACAGCATCGTATACAACTAGGTGGTTACATAGTGGCAAAAGAATTATAACATAAAATAGTGGATGATTATTTCAAAGGCGTAGATTATACCGTGTGATAAAAAAAACGGCGTCAAAGACTGCTGGGGAATGATAATCGATGATAATTTTAGCGAGGTCAATCTCTACAAGCCATTTACTAAAAATTGGCATAAAACTTGTGAAAAATTGACACTATTTATAGAAAGATTCCTAACACAGGCTTTAAGTGGCCGCGGACTGGGTGTTAAGGTAAATGGGGAGAACTCAAACAACATAAGTTACGCTGATGAATGATGATTCGGTTCTATTAGCTGCCAGCGAAGATTCCTTACAAAAGCTGTTGAATAATGCACGGAGCTCAAACTCCCCTTGTTTTTATTGATGGCACAATGACAGGTGCCTCATATCTTAGAGGCGTTTTAGAGCTTATTATTGTGCGTCCATTTCGAGGGGCAGTGGGGGATGAATTTGTTTACATGGACGATAATGCTCCTCCCTATCGCACTTTAGCGGTTCGCGAATTTTGTGAGGAAGAGGGTATAAGAAAACTGTGGTGGCCACCGATGTCTCCAGATATGAATGTGATCGAGCATGCTTGGGACATGCTGAAACACCATATTGCCAAAAGGCATGATGCCCCCCGTATTTTAAATGAGTTGAAAATTGCTGCGCACGAAACATGGGAAGCCATTCCTCAACATCTTCTGGACAACTTAATTGAGAGCATGCCACGTCATCTCACCGCTTGCATTGAGGCTCGAGGAGGCAATACAGACTATTAGTTGTGAGAAATAATTAAAATTGTTTTCAATATTTTTTGTTTAAAATAAAATTTGTTTTTGTTGATTTTCACTCATTATGAAATAAAATTATTATAACAGCTAGTTGCAATTAGATTTTTAATTTTATATTAGTTAGTCGTGTAGTAAGCCAATATGTCCAAAAATATAAAAAGAATCATATTAGGATCCAAATAAAATAAAAATATAATAATAATTGTAATATAGCAATAATTTTGGCCATGTGTGTATGTGTGACTGTGATCATTTCAATTGACTGGTCGATTATTCATCATGTCAAATTGACTGATAGATGTTATTTAAGACTTTAATATCAATGTAGCGTATATGCAAAATTTTGAACTACCAACGTTTATACGTTGCTTTATAGCAAAACAAAGAATTGACCAACCAAACGCTAAAAATCGAAAGTGAAGGCAATCGAGTAGGGTGAGGCTGAATTGCATTAGGTCGATAAACCAGTTCGGTATGGCAGATAGGCTACTTTTGTAACAACTGCATTATGGACAATGCAAAAGAGGAACTCGTTTTTATTTTAAGGCATTTAAACATGTTATTGTGGATACAGCACAGAATCTTACAAAAATTTTAAGAAAGCATTATTTTACCAACAATTTAGAAAATTTGGAATACGTAACTGAAACAGAATAGTTAAATAATGAAAATACGTACAGGTTGTCCCATTTTCGTGTGTCTTATGTCCTATGTCTAGTCTCTTTTATAAGTTGAAATACAAAGATGCGGTTTTCTTAAAAATAATAAAAAATTAACAATTAACGATAAATGTAATAGTCAAAACAAAATACAAGAGAAAACATAAATAGAGAATAGATCCAAAAATACAGGGTGTCCCAGAAATAAGTGCAGATATTTTAAGGGGTGCTAGATCTGGTCAAAAGAAACATCTTTTCTCTTTACTCAATTGTAAATATCCGAGTTATTTAACTTTTAAAATTTAAAAAAAGAATGGCAACATTTTGAGAACCGCTGGCGATAGCCGGCTATTAAGGATTTTTTTAAGAGGTTTTTAAGCTTATTCGACGACTCAAGTGAATAAACAAGTGGCACTAAAAAGTTTTTTAAAATTTCTCGGAAAATTTAAAGAAAAATATAATTTTCGCAAAAAAACCTCATAGGTGTATTTCTTGGGCCGAAATATAGTTAAAATATTTGCACTTATTCCTGGGACAGCTTGTATAATGAAGACATTTTGAATAAATTAAAATTACGTAGGACACGAAAAATGAACCCAAGGCAATGGAATAATATACCCCATGCGGATATCACTAGATGTAATAAAATAACTGGTCTAATTTTCATTGTTATAACATGGCATTTAAACAATTCTAAAGCGTACTTCCTCTTATTCTCACATTTAGTTCATTAATTTTTTGGCGTCAGGACTTGGCAACATTTCTTTATTGTGATTTTGACAATTTTTGGTTGTAATAAGTTTATATTATCGGTAATAACTATCATTACTATTTAAAAAAGATAATAGATATTTACGATACAAGTGAGTTAACAGCATCATTAAGATACGCGTGTAAAAGTTGCACGAGTGCGTAGCACGAGTTGTGTAACCACACAAGTATCTTAATGGAGTTAACTCGCGTGTATTGTACAATATTTTATCTACGTCTATGTAACTATAAAAACACAAAATGAATTTTAAAAATTATTGTACTTATTGTACTATATACCAATCCTAAAAATCAATTACCTTATTACCTTTGTTCAAATAACACCATGCATGGCAATGTCAATATGACAGTAAATAATATTGATGTCACTAGTTTAAAAAATGAGCGATTCGAAAAGTATTCCCTCTGACATTGAAGAAGAGGCATTCAGAGCCATTTCTGGATTGCTTCCAGCAAGATCGAAACAAAAGTATGAATATACATACTCTAAATATGAAAAATGGTGCACCGAAAAAAAAGTACACAACTATGGAAATGAAAAGGTACTCATAACATATTTTTCCAATTTAGTGCAAAATAAATGTTTTACAAAATATTTTTTCTCTTTGGTAGTCATCTAAACAAGGAGTGCGGTAATGAAAATGCGTGTTTTTGCGAATTTTATCACTGGCGTGGATAAAAGTATTGACGGATTTATTTCCGGAAAAAAAAATTAAAAAAAAACAAGAATGCTACAAAATTTAAAAGTTTTTTTTTTATGAAATGAAACTAGTTTTTTGAAGGAATGCGACCCGCATCAATGGAAGCTTCGCCGCAGTGTGCGACCCTGATTAGTGTTCTGTATTTTTTTGCTATTTATTTCTATGATGAGTAAACCATAAAAACGACGGTCTATGGTCTGGCTGAAAAAAATATTGAAAAGGAAGTATGATTCAGGGACCGCTACGTTTCCATTCACGGATTAATCACGCGGTAGCGTTGAAAAATCCCCATTGTCGGAAAGCACCCATTGGAAAATTCTCTTTTTTTACTAAATCACTATGATTTTTGATTGTGTATAGGTAGTACTATATCGCTCATTTTCTGGGAGTCGAATTTTCATTAAATTATCGGAGAGATTAAATTAATATAGATTTATTTTAAATTTGATTAATAAGAAGAATAATTAATTTAATTAATAATTTTATTATTATCATTATTAGGGTGCACCAAAAAATTCAATATTTTTTTTTCTTTTAATTAACCGTGAAAATATTGTTCAGGATGATAATGCAAGCTTTAATAATAAAGTACAGTTGAATCACTGTAAGTAAAGTAAATTTTAAGTTAACGTCTCCTTTTTGCTGCTATTGCTACAACCCTGAAATCGAAATCAAATTTTTCATTTTAAAAAAGTTCCAAACACCAATGTTCGTCCAAATATCGACATTAGTTCAGGAATTATTTGGAACAAATTGAAAGCAAAATGAAACCTACACCCTGTATCTCCGAAACGAAACATTGTAGGACATAAAGCTTCATGGAATAAATTAGTAGTTTCAATTAGCCGTAGAGGTTTGTTCACCTAATTTTAATGTAAGCATTCAGAACGTCATAATTAGTGGTAGTAATTTTCAATTATTGGAAAAAATTAACAAACTTTTGACTTTTCGTCTAATTATACTTCAAAATTTGCGAGGAATGTAATTTTGGCTTTTGATTATCACCCGTCATGATAAATTTTGGTTAGAAATCAGAAGTTTTTTATTTTATAAGCAAAATATTAGGATTTCTCTATATTATATACAACAAACTACCATCGTAGAATATCCTAGAAACAGCTTGCGTGTAGCTTGCGTTAGCCAGTTGCATCCATAGAGAGAGCCCAATATTCATCAGCTTATAAAACAATCAACTTTAGATTTCTAACCACAATTTCTCTAGACGGATGATAATCAAAGGCCAAAATGACATTCCTCGCAAATTTTAAAGTATAATTAGTGGAAAAGTCAAAAGTTTGATAACTTTTTCTACGAATTAAAAAAGACTACCACTAATTTTGACGTGCTGAATGCTTACATTGAAACTAAAGCAACAAACTTCTGCGCTAATTGAAACAACTAATTTATTCCACTAATTGCGAGGTTCGGAATGAATCTTAAATGTGTATACAAATTTTTTAATTACTTTTACATGCATAATATGCTTCTGCAATCTCCCGAACACAATTCGGACCACCCTGTATATTTTCTTTTACTGTAAACACTTTTATCTATTTTTTTAAGAGGTCTTTAACATATTTAATTAGGAAAAAATCTTTTATGTTCTAGATTTCCCTGGAATGTGCTTCGCCTCCACCAAATGCGCCACCGTCGAGCCTGGTAAAACTTGGGACTTGACCCCATTCTGTGGTCGCTCCACCTGCGTGGTCTCCGAAGACCAACCCCCAAGACTTTTGGAACTCGTCGAAGACTGTGGTCCACTGCCACTCGCCAATCCCAAATGTAAACTGGACGAAGGTAAAAAGCAACAAATTAAAGAAGATACTAATGCCAAAAACTAAAGGGCTTCCACAGACTTCGCTCTTTTTTGTCATATTTAATCTCCGCGATTAACAACGACGATTAAAACTGATAGTCTGTGGCACAACACGGATATCATCATCGTCGGTTCGTCCATTTTCGTGAAAACTGATAATGTGTGCGCCGTTCCTTTTAATCGACGGTCTTTCACATTGGTGCACGTGTACATGTTGCATTTAGTATTTGTTATTGTCTTATTTGTATGGTTCATTCTATTCAGTTCGTAACTTTTAAGTTCGTAATGGTTGGTTCTATTCAGTTCGTAACTTTTTTTTAACCATCATGAACTTACGGTACATAAATAAAGAGTTTTTAATACAGTTTATAAACGTCTATAGGTACTTGCCTGGTTATGGAAAATTAAGACTGATGATTACAAAAATCGCGATAAAAAAATAAATCTCATGAATTCTACTTGAAAAAATTGGCGCCGGGAGGCACGTATAGCCGCCCATAATAATATGTTAATAAAAAGTTGGTAGGCAGTTATTTTAGTTTCAAAGCAGGTAAAGGAATTTTTCCATTTTTTTTTATCTCAAAAACTGCGACTTTGACTGATTTTGTTGTTATTACAAATTTTGTTGCAAATATTATTCCTAATCTTAAATTGAACACAGCGTTTCGCTAGCTACTGTAATTTAGGAGTTACGATTTTTTAAAATTTTTAACCCCCTCCAATCCCCTTACCAATCCCCCTCCCCCACCAAAAACTAATGGCCAGATTCTCGGGTGCCACAGTATTTTTGTGCCAAATTTGGTTAAAATCGGTTTAGCGGTTTTTGGGTTATCGTGTTACAGTCAGACGTACAGACGGACAGGCGGACTAACGGACAAATAACTCATTTTGAGTGAAATTAAAAAACTTTTTTTTGCCGATCTTAATAGCCTACCATACCTATTGGTATGGTCCTACCTGTTGGTATGGTAGGCTAAAAATGAAGGAGGTGGATGTGGAAGCTTCTCTACAAAGGGTAAAAAACAAAATATACTCTTTTCGTAGCAATTTCCGGAAGGAGTTAAAGAATATGACAGATTCTGATATATTTTAAATAAACTATTTTTAGCCCACTTTTATCTATTTTTCTTCTTTTTTACTTTTAATGTTGCTATCGTTGCCGCCACTGCAAGTAAATCGACGCGTTTCATGTTGTTACCGTTTTACACTGACGTAGTGCGTGTGCAAATACAGTTTTACTTGTCTAGTCCAGCAGTGGTCATCGACGATTAAAGGATGCTTCACGCTACACCGTAACGGGTCCGAGCCGTGCGTCGGTGAAGACACGGCCAAACATTGTCAAGTGTTCTTTACACATAAACATTCATGCCAGGCCGAGCACGATCCGAGCTTCGCCGGAACTCGTCCGTGCCCCGTCCCAGAAATGTCGGCGTACATTTTTTTCTCGGATCCGGTCCGTTCCCGCCACATTGCGGAAAGCATGAATGTATTTCTCCCGGTGCCCCGACTGCAATCTGCAGTCATGATATAAACAAAGTACACTTTTTATCATGTCTGTAGTAAGTATTAGTGAATCTTACAGCAGTATTTGACGACAGGCGTAAAACTGGACAATGAAAGGATGTAATGAAGAAGATCGGTCCTTCATCTTTTCCTTTGAGCAGGTGTTTCCTCTGCAGATGTTGTTCTTTATTCATCAACTGCAATTGGTACCAATTCCAATTGCGAGAACTTTGGCATTGTTCGTATTAAATCTTCGTGTGTCTATGGGGCTGTGTTTTATAATATACTCAGAACTAATACGAGCCCCGTTATCAACTCGATGTAGCATAAACAGAAGGCCCGGACGTGGCTCGGTGTCTATTTCACGAAACGTGCCCGGCTCGGGTACGGTCCGGTGTACCGTGAATCATCCTTACCACTGCTAAAAAACAACGAGCTCTGTGGCTGCTTTAACAGAGCCTGAATTCTGTTACTACTATGTTAATTAGTACAATATTGTTACGGATTCCGTGGGTCCACTATTTAAACTCACGATAAAATACTTAACGAATTTATTTGTTTCACTCTGTACACACAACTTATACTATTTACAACACAACTTAGGCAACTACTATTACTCTAACGGTATTTCGCGGTATTTTCAAACTTTAGACTTCAAACTTCAAACTTTTAAAACTTCCAACTGTCAAAGCGCGGGCCTTATATACCCCCTGGCGGTTGTTTCTAGATTTTTCTAAAGAATTCTATAATTTTCTTTACTTTCTGGCGAATGCGCCAGGTTCCTTAAAGCACATTGCGATTTTAGCAGTATGCAGTTATGCAACCAGTAATACACCTTGACAATATGATCGAAAAAAAAACGTTACTAGTGATGGCTATGAAACGAAGATCGCTGGCATTTTATTTGTAAAATACAAAGGTAAAATAATATGGGGAACGTCATCGATTGTCATTTTCAAGCCACCTGGGCACCGTTTATTTTTCGATCATATGGTACTTATTACTCATTCGACATAATATTGCCATAATAACACTAATTTCATAATTTAAATTTGTTCCAGAAAAAACTAACAAAACTGCACCATTCCCAAACTGCTGTCCAGCTTTCAAATGCGAAGACGGAGCTAAATTGGAGTATCCCGAAATTCCAACTGTCGCTCCAGTTCCAGCTGATGCAGCTGAAACTACCACTACTACTGCCAAAACTTCTTAAACTCAATAACAGCAACAAAAAAACATATCTATGTGTTTAGTTTCAATCTTGGTGTTACTTTACATTTTCATCTAGCTCTCTATTACTTATTGTTTTTTTAAGTTTCTTTTATTTAATTTTTTTTATATTATTTTCTCAAACTTTTTCTTCTTCTCCAAAAGGATTGAATTGTTTGTAACGCCTTTCTAAATGTGATAATATGTGACGTATTTCATAGTGTAAATGTATTTGGCAAAAATATAGTTTATAATAAGTTTTTGTGTACACTTTGAGTTTTTATACCAATTCAAAATTAAATTAATTTATTTAATACTGCATTGTTTTTTTTATTAGTATTTTTTTATTCGTGTTTGAAATATTAGAAGGTCTTCTTCCATCATCAGACTAACTGAGGAGCAGACTTACTAAATGCATTTAGTCCATTTTTTAAGATTTTCAACTGGCATCGCACACTACACACACATACTATTTTTATGTTTTTTTTATCAATTTTTCAAGTAAGTATATACTAGTTTTTCGGTAAGTTTCTTACAAAAAGCGTGGCAGTTTTTCTTTGTTTGCCAAAATTCTAAAAAATGGATAAAATGCATCTAGAAAGTCTGCTCCTCAACTATTATAGTCTGTCCAACGACAAATCCTTTTGACAGGTGTTTGTAATTTTAATATTTAAGTAGTTCAATTTATTTAAAAAAAATAAGTTGGTACAATTGGAATAGGTACCTAAGCAAATAGAAAAATTAATATATTTAAAAATTTAATAACAAATGATTACTTCAAACATATTAAAAAAAAACTACATTTATGACATCTAAAGCTGAACCTCGCTAAAATTATCATCCATTGTTATTCCCCAGCCGTCTTTGACGCCGTTTTTTTCGATCGTACGAATTTATGTTATCTTTTTATAGGTATTTGCCTTTTTAGCTGAAAATGTTTTTTTCAAATTTAGTTAAATTGGTTTATCTTGTTTGATGTATATTTTAAGCTACATTATGATTTTTTTTGTTTTTTTTTTCGCTTGTGTTCATGTTAATTTTCTCATAACTGATTACTTAATAATTTCATATTATTTTCATAAATCTTAATTTCTATCGATTTTAACTTTTGAAAACCATTCCTTCCTACACAACAATACTGATTGACGAACTGCACCATCAGTGAACGAATATTTGCTAGGACCAAAAGTACCGAAAAAAAAGGGAAATCCCGGTTCTTTAGAGGCATGGTACCGAAATTCCGGTTCCGGAAACTCTAATCCAGGGACACTGAATATTTATCTAAAAATTAATTAGAATTAAATCTTATGTGGTGCCATCTCGTACCTCAACGGAAATTTATCTTAAAAACGTAAAGATATCTATGTAACATATATCTCGCCTTCCGCCATCTCTTGAGATGCTTTAAAATTAAGTTGTGTTGTGTTTGTTTTTGTCAAATTTGTGGTTATGTTTGATTATATTGTGTTTTGATTTTGTTCATAATATTTTGTTTTATTTCAAGATTATGTTTTGTTCAATGGTCTAATCAGTGAACTTGATTTATACCTAACAGACGAATTTTATTTGGATATGAGTTCTGCCCATTTCCTAGTAATTTCAAAAGTTCTTACAAACTGAAAAATGGAAAAAGCAAATTCTAGTGTTCCTAAACCAAGGAAAACATCAGTTCTCTCCAATTATGAGATTTCAGTTTCAATTGCTTTTAAAAGAGACTGTGAAGTATTTTTAGTAGAATTTGCCAAACAAAAAACCTTAAGTTATGCTAAATTTGCTAATATCTGGCAGTTAAAAAATATGTCTTATATATTTGCGTAAGTATTCCAGTTTTTGATCAAAATATGGCCTAATTAAAAAGCATATATATTACCGTGATTTCTCCAAAAGAGAATATCTAGAGATATGTAAATTTTTTTCAGGGACCAAACCTATGTATCACTCTTGAAAACTCTCTGCGAAGAATGTTTTGCCATTTTAACACAATGTATTATTCATCAAAAAAATGTTTATATGAAGATAGGCGCTCTGTACTTATTATATGGTTTATATTATAAACAACCGATTGAGTAAGTTTTATAATCAATTTTTATGTCCTATTACAACAATATTTCTTAGAGGAATGGTTAAGATTCGTGTATCATATGATGAATATACTATAATAAAGGATCTCATGGATGAAATGGCCAAGGAGAAATATATGGAACCTTTATTTATATTTGCTAAATTAAAAGCAGATGTAGCTTTTAACTACGTTGGATGCTCTATGCCTAGATGTAATGAGTTATTGCAAATAATATATTAATCTCTAATAAACTTCTTTCTTTATACAGTATGTCCCCGGATTGTCTTTAACAAGAGGAAAAACTTTTACATTTTCAGAAATTTCTATGGTGATATAATTTCGTTTGGATTCTTCGATTATTGATAGAATTTTAATTGATGTCATTTTTTTTCTGTTTTATAATTAAAGAAGCACAAAATTTATATAGTTTAAGGTTTTTTTTATATAGTTTTTTTTTTATTTTTATTTTTTTTTTATATCCTTTCCTTAGGGAAAGGTGATAATAATTATCGGAAAATGTGATGCTAACAACAGCAAAAAATATGACGTTAATCAAAATTAATAATAACCATCTATCAAAGAATGAAATTGACATTATTACCACAGAAACGCTTTTCGATTTTTAGGACTTGAAAAAAAGTCAACCATATTTTCATGTTTTTTTTTTAATTTTCTCTAAAACGGTATGGAAATTTGGAAAAGTATAAAAGTATAAAAAAAACACTTTTATCAAAATGTCAATAAAAAGTTTTTCCTGTTGTAAAGACAATCCAGGGACATACTGAATACATTATACACAAACAAAATTATACGGTATGATCGAGAAAAAACGGCGCCAGCGTTGGCTATGAAATGAAAATCCCTGTCATTTTATATGGGAAATGTCATCGATCGTCGTTTCCCAGCCAACTGGACGCCGTTTTTTTTCGATCATACGGTAGTTTATACCGAGTCTCAAAAGTGGCTCACCCCTATAACTTTTTTATTTTTTCAGTTAAAACAACGAGATTTGGTATATTAGTATATGACATAAATTAGGACTGATTGACATATTCAATTGTTTTCGGTCAGTTCCGGTTTCACCGGAAATGACTACAACTTTTAATTTTTAAATGTCACCTTCAGTATTTTTTTACATTATTCAATAGAAAATGACACTCTGAATAGACATATCATATGTCAACTTTTGACATATTTTCGCATATCATTTATTTGAAATTGTAACATGCTGTTCATAACGACAATTTGACTCAAAATGCCAAGTGTGTGGTACCAAATTATTCGTAAAAAAATGCCTTTTCCAAATATGGTAATGAGCCACCCTTGTTCCATTTGAAAAACTTGAGATATGATTAAAAATACTCTCCAAAAAAATCCTTTATGTTAAGAAAATCTACAAAATAAAATAGTTATTTTTTGTAAACACTTCTGCGTTAAACCTAAACGGACGCTGCTTGTCAAATCCGCCACATAGGTAGACATTTTTTATTAAAAATACTATTTGGGCATCTTTTAACCAGCCAAGACAAGGCACGAAAAACATTAGACGATGACATCTATTTTTCCAAGACTCCTTTTTTAAAAATTGTTTTCAACACAGTCAGGGTGCATCCACATTATCCTAAAAACGGCGTATCGGCGTCACGGCGTAACGATCTTGAATTGATTTCCAGTAATTCTATTGGCTGAAATTTTTGACAGATAAATTTTTCCGCCAATAGAATTACTGGAAATCTATTCCAGGTCGTTACGCCGTTACGCCAATACGCCGTTTTTAGGATAGTGTGGATGCACCCTCACTCTAAATTGAAATTATAATACATAATTTTTTAAGCTAAAATGTCAAAAGTTGACATATGATATGTCATTCTATTCAGAGTGTCATTTTCTATCGAATAAAGTAAAAATATACCGGGGGTGCTATTAAAAAATCAAAAGTTGTCATTTCCGGTGAAACAGGAAGAGACAAATAACAATTGAATACGCCAATCAATCCTTATTTATGTCATATACTAACACACCTTTTCTCGTTTTTTTATCTGAAAAAATAAAAAAGTTATGGGGGTGAAACATTTTTGAGACGCGCGCACCCGCGGTATGTATTGTATTGAAATGTATTTATAATTTAATTAAAAACGATTTTTAGCAATCCGATTTATTAAAAATACAAAAAAAGCTTTCACAGCTCATACACTGAATGCTAATTTTGGTGAGAATCCATTATCAAAATTTGAGGGCATATTGCAAGATGAATCGGTTGTAAAACTCCAGGATACCTGTAAGAGATATGAAATGGCTTTGAAAAAAAATTCAAGTAAGTTATTCAATTTCTGTGTATGTTGATATCAAAAAAATATGTTTTCCTTGTATCAAAGGCTGATATCTGACTAAATATTTAAATACTACAGATACATATAAATCATACAGTAGCAAAATCGTTATGGAAACGAAAATATAAAATGACACCAACGTATATCCAATATATAAACGGAGGCATGCAAATGCAATAAATTTAAAAGCTGCGTTATTTTCTAACCAATCAAAGTCTTTAAATTCTACCAATAAAATTAATATCGCATCAACGTATCGTCGGAAAACGGATGCATGAAAATCAAGCTTATAACTCTACACAAGACTTATGTATTACAATATCATATAGTCCTGATAAAAAGAACATACTAACAACGTTTTCAACATATTTCTCAATTGTTTTTTAGGTATATATCCAAATATAGATCAATTTAAATCAACAATTATGGACGACTTAAATGCAGCACATAAAAAACTGTTTTCAGAGGACCATAGTACACCCAGTGAACAAATCGAAACAGACTTGAAAATACTTAATAGCAGACAAGAGATCAAGCTTAGAGCTTTGAAATCGGAAAACGCTACGTATAGGGGTGCAAAACAAGTTTTAACTGCAATTGATTTAGAATGATAAAATTATGAGAACTGTTTAAGTTACATATCTGTACCCCAGAAGCAAACAATATTAAGTCACAAAACATATAGTTTTGAAAAAAAAAACAGATTTAAGGTTCTTTTTTGAAATTATTTTCTAATTACTCGGTTATTTTTAAACCTATAATTGCAATATTAGGTTACTTATTTTGAACTTAAATGAATTCTAAACCTTTTTTGAGTGACAACATAATTTGTATATTAGAAATAAAGTTACCAAAGTTTATGCCCAAATGATTAAAGCAAAACAATTTTAAGTCCAAATAAAAGTATATTACTGATATAATAAGAAAACATTTAACAGGAAACTGTAAAACAGGAATTTGTGTTGTAATTTGGAACTAATTTACCATCTTTATTAAGTTTAAATCATGTTTAAATCGACTAACTTATAATGTCTGCAAAACTGTCAAATCAGAGGGAACCAGAGGCCCGATTCTGTAAACATATTTCCTCTCTAGTGAATCATCAATTGTATACAAATACCATAGGCTAGACAGGAAATTTCTTGCTACGGAGCTTTACCCACTGCAGATAGAACATAAAAAGTTAAGTAACTTGACGTATATTTCTCAAATAATCTATTCATTGTTTGCTTATAGGATACAGATATAGATATCATAAGTTATAACCATTGTGATATTATGTACAGGGTGGGTCAAATTCGACGCTTTTAAATGGGAACGCCCTTTTCTATAGGAGATAGACAAAAACTAATATCGGTGTCTGGAGCTCAATTTTTGTCAAAAACATGATGGTGAAAACCACATATCGATAATCTGTTACCGTTTCGGAGTTACGGAGTTATTATAGTTTTTCAAAAATATGCATTTTTAATAAATCGCTGTAACTTTTTTGCTATGGAAAATTTTGTATTTTTATGAAAACATTTACAAAGTACCTTTTTACGTAAAATTTAATGGTTTAAGTATAATTTTTTTTAAATTAATAATTTAAGAATTATCAACAGAAAATTTGAAAATTTTTTATATGGGACACCCTGTATATTTTTAGTTTGAATTTGAAAATATACAGGGTTTGAAATTGAAAAGAATTTAAAATTACCTTTCCAAAAATATAACACACTTGCTATTTTGCTCGATTCCTCTTCGAGATATAGAGTATATAAAAATTTGCCCGCTTTAAATAAGTAGGCTTTGAACGGCACCGGCTATAATGCAAAAAATTCAAGCTGTGAGCATCAATTAAAACGAAAATAATATTTGTTATGAGAGATGCAGAATTTTATAACAATTTAAAATATATTTAACCAACATCAACACATTTAAACTATATCTAATAACAAGAAAAATAAATAGCAAACCAAGACATGAGATTTTGCTACAGGTGTTCGACATATCGACCGTCTTCTGCTATGGACAGACGGGGCAGTTTTTGAACATTTCTCGCGGAATTCATTAACTCAGTGAAAGATACCCTCTCATAACTGCTAAGTATTTCTAATTCTTGTCTAGATTATACAGAATAAGGAACCTTTATTCTTCCGCAAATATATCCATAGGATTAGATCCATGGGCACTAAGTCAGGCGGCCTCGACGGCCAACGGCTGGGATCTTGGTTAGCTATTCATTATTCTTGAAATTGGCTGCAAAAATTTGCTGATAACTTCAGCAAATTTTTACAGATATAGATAGTTCAGAGGCGGTGCGTCGTCTTGCTGGAAAAATATGTTTTCGAGTTCCATTAAGGGCATATCAGCAAAAATGGGTTCAAAGCCTACTAGTTAAAAGTGGCGAACTTTTAAAAATTCTGCATTTCGAAGGGTATTATAACAAAATATCAAGTGTACTATATTTTTGGAAAGGTAATTTTAAATTCTTTACGTTAATTAAAAATATAGAGGGTGTCCCAAATAATCAATTTTTCTGTTGATAACTCTTAAATTATTCATTTAAAAAAAATTATACTTAATCCATTAAATTCTATGTAAAAGGGTGCTTTGGAAATGTTTTCATAGAAATACAAAATTTTCCATAGCAAATAAATAAGCAATTTGTTAAAAATGCACATTTTTGAAAAACACCCCGTAACTCCGAAACGGTAACAGATATTGATTTGCGGTTTTCATCATCATGTTTTTGATGAAAATTGAGCTCCAGACACTGATATTAGTTTTCGTCTATCTCCTATAGAAAAGGGTGTTTCCATTTAAAAGCGTCGAATTTGACCCACCCTGCACTTAATTTGAAAAGAAATTATTATAATTTCTTTTTAAATTAAGTACAGGGTGGGTCAGTACAAAAATAATTTGAAAAGAAATTATTATAATTTCTTTTTAAATTAAGTAGAATATGAAGGGCCCAGGGAAAAAAACATGATAAGCTTCAATTTCTTAATTTTAGAGTTTAAAATATTGTAGTAGGTCCAACTGTTCCATACAAAACGAATAAAATCTATAGTGCAATAAGCTGTTAAATGACTTAAATGCTATATTATATGCTGAAAGATCTCCTGTAAAATTGCGCTTATCATGTTTTTCCCCTGAACACTTCATATAATTTTAATTATCATATAAATAAACTATTATAATATAGCAAAATAAAATATTAATTTAATCACAATATATATTTTGAACTGAAATTATAGTAAAAACAAGTAAAAAAACTATTTTTACGTGTCTTCAAGCATGTTCTTCAAATCCTTCAATTTAATAGCTGTAGTAAGAAGTTGCAATTTAAATATGCGCACATAGTGCACACACAATTTTTTACGTAAATTTATGTATAGAAAAGCAATTAAGTCATTTGATGATTAATAAGTTTTTATTAACGTATTTAATATGATACACATTATAAGTCTAAATTGAAATGGTAAATAATCTTTTGTACCAAAGATGTTACAAAAGCAACGTACACAATTCTGGAAAACAGAATACTACACACTTAAAACATTAAACCAAAAACATCGTCAACAAAAGTGTAAAATTTAAATTGTATAGATGTACCAATATATTATCATAAATTTAGAAATACATAAAAATTATGAGATTATTACTTACTTACAGAACCATAAGTTTTTTCACTGTGTACTAAAAATAAACCCACAACCATAAAACTATATCTTAACTAACAATTAATAAATTTTAAAACAAGGAGCAAATGTATCGTGAGATCTCAACAATAAAAACTCCACTTCAGTCTTACCAAAATTTAGATTAGCAACATAATTTTATTTACAAATGTCAAAATATGTGGAAATATGTTTATGCTTTTAGAATTTTATATAGAATAAATTTATTATAGACCTAAATTTAAAATCTGTGTCATTCAGACTTTGAACTTTAAAAATAGTCATCTGTCCATATAAAAACAAGAGTTTTTAAATTAACTTTTGTATCTATATTTAATACACAATGAAAATACCTTTCATGTACACCAAAAGAATTTAGCAAGTATAAAAAATATAACCAACGCAATGAAGCCTAAATAATGTTTTTTTTAAGTTTTTACTGTGGTATTTTTAAGTTGTGATCATATATATTTATTTAATTTATATTTTTTTCTCTCTATATAGACACATTAATTCTATTGCAACAAATGCTATCACAGTCTTAACAGTATAAACCTACTGTTTGAAAATGTAATTGTTATATTTAATAAGTTTTAGCATATTTTACATAGCAGTTAGAACATAATATATTCCAGAAATAAAAAAAGATAGTTATAGAATTATGTATCTTAGAAGAAAAGTTATATTTTTCTAAAAATTATAGTAATCTTAATAGAGTTGTACAATGGCAAGAATAACTTTTATGAACAACGATATACTGTATTATCAAGGGGACTCTAGCTATGACAGTTAAAAGAATTCTAATGCTATTTACTGCAAAATTTGTTTTTCTGTCATCATATAAAGCAAAATTGATACTATAACTTTTTGATTGCATTGTTGGAATTTTAGTTGCATTTTTTTCTAAATAGAATAAACTTGAAATAAATAAAACATATAAACTTGAAATCTTGATAAACTTATTGGTAACTAGCTTGTAAAGTCGAATATCTTTTACTGAAGGATATGCTAAATACTTTCTTACATTTTTCTATAAATTTGTTAATTTTATATATAAACAAATAAAGTATTTCAAATAATAGGACTTTCATTTTGTTTTAATAATTAAATTTATTCTAGGTCTTTGAAATAAGTACTCGAAATGGTATGGTAAATTACTCATTAGTACTAATGAGTCACAGCATTTACTGTTCAAGGAAAGATGAACAAGAAATTATTTTTTGATATTCTACAATGTGTGGCAATATTGGACAGCCTTATAAAACAATGCATAGCACATACAAAACATTACTTATCTATTACATGTAATAAAGTAACCAGAAATAAACTAAAATTATATATTTTCCTGTCATGAAACAGTACTAATGAATCCATAACTATATATGGTTTTAATAGTCTAGTATTTTATTCCATAGTTAATTTGTAATTTGTGGGAATATTAAAACATCAAATATTGCCAAGGACATTGCAATAATGTCCTAATTGCACATTTATGTTACAAATTTGACACTATGACTTTTTAAATAACTATTTGAAAAGCACACAATAGTTTTTGCTATTTTCTACAGTTATCACAGTAAAAAGAGAATATATTTAAGAATAAACAATGCCAAATTTATAAGAGGTTGTGGTGTGTGATATTAATAATTACAAAAAAAAATTAACATCTTATAAATTTGAAACAGTTCTCAGTCTAATGAATTAATATCACACACTTTCAACATTACTATCAAATCTTTCCTTGTAAATCTTGTTCCGATGCTGCAGATCAAATATATATTTTATTTCTTTTTCGACCCTGTTAATTCTATCTCTGAACCTAGATCTATCCCTTGCATACATTTCCCAGGGGCCTTTCCTTGCAGCTTGATAGGCAAAAGACCATTTTATCATAGGATGGACCTCACAAAGGCTGTTATCAGGAGCAAACTGGACCTGCAATCATATAAAATACCCAGTGAGTGATATCTTTAGTATCTAACAAAATGTAGAAAGAAATCATTATATATGTTAGAGGACTTAACTAGGAATAATTAGGAACAAAAGCTCTTTACTGTTATACCTTATGTTCGAATAGAAACGGCGTCAGCGATGGCTATGAAATGACAATCGATGACATTTCCCATATAAAATGACAGTGACCTTCATTTTATAGCCATCGATAACGCCGTTTTTATTCGACCATACTGTATATTATATATATCCAATAATAAATTATATTGCCTGGATATAATAATTATAATATAAGGGTAAATATGTGGAATGTGATAAATAAAAATTAATAATTAAAACTAAAAGTTTAAAAGGTAATTACCAATTTATTCCTTAAAAATAACAAAAATTTACTTTAAATATACTGAGTAAAATTTCAGAGTAAAATTTTAGTATTTTAGAGCAAAAAACCTTTTAATACCTATATAATATATAGAAAACAAAAATTTATGTGTTGGACAAAATAATTCGGACTAATAAATGTTAATGCCTGGATGTGATTACTAATCTAAATGTGAAGTACTTAGTTGAAATTTATGTTCAATTATGATTATATATGGCAGAACAAATAATAAAATAAATAATTAAAACTAAAAGTCAATAGGATACCAATTTGTATGTAGAGTAAAATTTTTAATATCTAACAAAATATAGAAAAAGATGTATACATATTAGAATAAATAACTGGGAATAATTAAGTAAAAAAATGTTTGCTTTTATATGTAAGCAACAAACTTTAATGCCTAAATACGATAAATAATCCTATATCAGTTTAATTATAAGATAAGGGTCTACCCTTATCTTATAATTAAACTGATATAGGATTATACCAAACCAAGCCACCCTTATCTTATAAAACTGATATAATAGTGATCTTTAATAATTTAGAATGGAATATAATAAATACTCAAAATGGGAATATTCTGAAATTATTATATGGGACAGCAAATAATAAAATGAATGACTAAAAGTAAGTCAATATTTACCAATTTGTTTCTTAAAGGATGACAAGAATCTACTTCTGATATGTCATCATTTTGATTTTGTAAACTTGTGCTTTCGTCACTGTCATATTCACTGTCAGAACTACTATCTTCATCTGAGGATTCATCATTATTGTAACTTTCATTATCACTCCCTTCAAAAACAATAAAACTATCCTCGCTCTCACAAACTGATGGCATTTTAGTCCTACGTGATCGTCCTTTTGTTTCACTCCTATCCAGCTTATCAAGCATACATCTATCAAAATTATCAAGAGGCAGCTTTTTAAAATTTAATAGTTTAAAATCCATTTTGTCTGTTTCCCCTTGACTTTCATCCACAAAATCAGTCTGATGTTGATCTGAAACAATCTCTTTCTCCTGCATATCTCCCAGATATTGATTTCCTGTATGGTTTGTTGTATCTTTAACAGCCATTATACCATTTTTCATATCTGTATGAGGAATAACTTTTGGACAATTTTCTTTTATTGATGTAATTAAATTTGGGCTTTGAGACTGTTTATAATTCTTGGTTAACGAGTCTGTAGGTATTCTGGTACAGTGTGATGTATTGTTGACGAAATTCGGATTCGTAAATGCTTTTCTTGGTACTATCGATACTGTAGGAACCCACGTTCGAAAAGGTCTCTCAGACTGCTTCAAATGGGGGGCGGGATATGGCCCTTTATCCGTTATATTAATCCACATTGTTATGATATATTTATGGTCAGATTATATACCACAATTTCTTCTGAAACCTGTTGTAAAAGACCAATTTTTGTAGTTTGTACCGTGTAATCTCAATTTTTTTTTACAATGTCCTTGAGATTTTAAACAGAACGTGACTTTTGTATTACCTCTTCTGCTCAAAACTGTTGTAGCACAAGAACTATTTTTCACAAATTTATTTGCATTAAAACCACTTGAAATTATTACAGCCATTTTAACAATATACACGAGAATTTATCAAAAACAATTCACTTTAGACGGCCATTTTGTACATTAATAAACGATTGGAGAGGGGCAAAATTGCTTTTATAGTACAGTTTGCATTGATGCCAAATCAGTTAATAATATCCAATAATATCTTTGAGTGGGTAATCATGTATGTATAACGAATTATTTTTCTTTTCTAATATTTTTAAATTATAAAGAATAAAGAAAATGCATGAAAGTATGTACAAAAATATTGATAATTATTAGTATTCTACAAATTAAGAGAAGTATAAAAAACACAGAGAAATAGAAGGGATAGAGAATGAGCGTCAACATGCGCAGAAGGTCTAATCAAGTTGGGCGCCATATTCCAGGTCTTCCTGTCATTTTGTATATAGGTGGTAATCTATAAGTAATCAAATATCAATTTGCTGTTTTCAACCATACGGGGGGCAATTTAAATTTAGTGAAATTCTATCATTTATATGGTTAGTTAACATTAATATGATTTATTTAATTATCAGTTTCAAAACTGCGTACAATATTGGTATATAATACACTAAATATACGAATATTCTGACAAAAGACGCTACGGACAGATGACCTTTTCGTCGTAAAACACTCGAAATGATATTAAATAAGTATTTACAATATTTCATGTTTACTTGTACTGAATTACGCGTTTCAATTTAAAATTTTTGCAAATTTGGTAAAAATTGTTCTAAACAACTTTTTGTTCAAGTTGTATATTCATAAAAAACATTTGGTTCATAATTATTTTTGATGATTATCTACCTTGTATTTTTAATATAAACCTAGAAAAAATATGTTTTTGTTTTATTTTTTTTATTCGTCCCTTCAAATTATGTTTCAAAAACTGTTACATAACATGTCCTCTAACAAATATTTTCATAATACATAAACATCATTGATTTTATTAAGGGTATTATTATTAGTATTTATCCTGGTTTTTGTCGACAATAAAAACTCAATCTTGTAATAGAACATCAATTTTATATTTCGTAAAATTATTTTGATACAAATTCGATTTGTCAAAATTCAAGTCATTAATATATTGATAAACAACCCAAATTATTCCTAAATATTTTATTATAAACAAAAACTGTTACCGGTAAGTTTGTAAAACACATTATGGTTTGTCGTAATACTAGAAAAAATCATTTATTTTTTGCACAAAAGAAGCTTGTCGATCCTTATTTGTCCATAACAAAATTCTGTATGTACATATACCTAATTTATTATTAAGAAAATTAGATTATATGATCTCAGAATTTTAAGAAATTTTTTTTTAAGATAAAATAGTTTCTTCTCAACTGTAATATTGTCAACTTTGGCCTGTATTTTATCTATTTAAAAACATGGGATTGACAATCCCCTTACTAAAATACATACTGGAAGGTACCGATTAAGTTTCATTGCATCAAATACCTTTACTATAAATCCTGGCTCACAACTCACAATTTAAGGCCATTGCAAAATGCTTTTGAACTTCATCATAGATTTTACAAGAATAAAAGTGTAATATTGAAACAAAGTAACACTGTAAGCTTCATGACTAATAGTCTCATTTTTAACACTCTTTAAATATCATCTCGTTAACAATTATGAATATTATATGATTTTTCTCAGTGATTTGTGGCACAGATACAAATTAATATATGCCCCATAACAGTTTTTAAATAAGAAACTTCTGCCTACAGATTTAATTTTCTTATTGGCATAATACCCTTTCTTCTTCCTTGTTTTTACAGTTGTAGGAATACTAAAAATGTTGACTATAGAACTTGATACTATGTTTGAAAAAACCTTCATACCTGTAACTGTGCATAAATCTAATTAACTGAATTCTCCTCCTCTTGACACTCTGAACACTGCTGCTGCTGTTAGAAATATTTAGCACAAAACTACAACTACCTACAACAAACTTTACAATAAAAATGTTAAATTTTCACTGTTCGATTAAAATACCCTATCTTATGTTTTCTTTTCCTCCAAATAATCTTCTTGTCAAGTGGGACCAATCTTATTTGACATATTGGTACACTTGAACTTGTGCTTTCATGGACACTATAAGAGTGCACTGTTTTACAGAAGCACGAACATTGATTCCAAGTATCTTCTTCCTCCACACGTAATAAAAACATCCTCCTTAAATGGCCACATCATACACTTATTTTGACCATTCCCAATTACAATCACGATTTTTACAAATCGCCTTTAGGAAAACTAAAAATAAACAGTTTTGGATCATCTGTAAACACGATTATTTTGTATAAACTTACACATGAAAACTAATCATTTTTCCCGGCGTATTAGCTTTCTTAGAATGACTATGACAATATACAATAAGCCTTTTTGAATTAGTGTTTAGAATAATTGAGACTCTGATTGAGATAATAGGTAATAAATTTTAACTAGATAACAACACGAACGAAAAAAAAACAAAACAAACAGATGTCAATTAAAGAGGGGAAGTGACAGCGAGACCTGGAAGATGTCTGCCATCTTGCCGTCGACAAAAATTTGGATGCGCACTCGTCGAAGCTCATTCTCCCACTTCCATATCTCTGAAAAAACACAACCTGCCTTGTATTTTATAATTTGGCAACATTGCAAATGTAATGCTAAATGGGAGTTGCCAAATGCTACAATATGTTTGAAGGTTTAATAATTTCTGAAATCCGCCTGACAGAAATAAGAACATTTTTTCTTTCATACACATTCTCTCGTCAAATAGACTATATAAAAAAAGCTCCTGTAATTACTATTGTGTATATATTTTGTATTCAATACAAGTTTCTGGATATTTTTCTATGAAGTATTCCTATGAATCAGAATACTTAAATCTTGAAGGATTTTCTTTAGCACGCACTTGGCAACGCTGCTCGATATACTGGGAACAGTGGGAACTTTAAAATTTGGAATCCAAACAAAACACTGACGTCATGGAATTATTGTTTAATGTTTAATTTTATAGATTCAAATAAATAGATACTTGACAAATATTTTTATGTATTTTAAATAGAGAATTAGGCTCTTAAGATAAACGTTATCATTATAACAATGTAATTTAACCGTATTTTAAAAATACATGCAAGTAGGTACCTAATTTATAATTTTATAATAAGCAGGTATAAATAGGTACCTAAGTACATCACGTAGGTAGGTACCCACCTAAGGTACCCACCTAATAAACTCAATAAATGACTAGACTGGACAATTATAAATGAGGAATAAAGCCAAACATTTCCAGGAAATATAAAAGCTTATTGCCTTTTTATTATTTTTTTTTCATCATTACCTATACAGGGTGGCGCACCTCATTCGCCTCGGTTGATTATACGAAAATGGAAAGATGTAGAATCAAAATATTTTATGGCTATATGTGGGGAGGTAATGTGCACAATTTAAAATAATTTTGAAATGTACAGGGTGTTTCAGAACTAAGATCCATACCAAAGTTATATTTTTTCTTATGGAACACCCGGTATTTTATTTCATTTTTGGATTCTTGGGCCCAAAAAAAGGTATTTATTATAAGGGTTAAATATGTTTAAAATCTTTGGTTTTTAAGATATTTAAAATTGCATGCTACAATAGAATAGTAATACCCTGTACATTACTTTTCAGAATTAGATCTTGTACTGAGTAGAGAAATAAACTTTACAGAAAAATTTTATTCCTTCCTTAAATGTATACAGAGGTATCAAAAATTGCTGGTATATTTTAAATATTTATTTTACATAAAAACTTCGTTATTTCTAATGCAACACTATGTATTTTTTTAAATAAGTCGAAGCAGATTTAAATGCTCTTTCAAACTATATTAGGGTTTCCTATACCTATCTAGCTCAGATTTTGAATAAAAAGCGATTTTTCAATAAAATTGTAATCAAGATGGCTAGTGTTGTCATGGCAAGTTTCTAGTGACAGTTAGTAGCTATTTTCAAAATCGAAATTAGTTTATGGACTTATTTAAATTTATACCAGTTTACTTTTATTTAATTTACCTAAAATAGTTTAATAAATAATATTTATTAAATATGTGTATATTATTCTGTTAAGAAAAACGAAGAAGTAGTGCTTTGAATTATTTTACGATGACTTGTAGATATATGGATTTTCTATAAAATAGCCAATTACGAAACATTCATTTTATTCACTTCCAATGACAGGTTTCTGCCTAATACGTTTTTTTATAAACCACACGCTCTACCAGCTCTGCGAAATATGACAAGAAGTTTTTCAAAGAAACGCTTATCAGGAAGATTCCTATTTGGACATCTTTGAGCATAAGCCCCTGAGGCCAAGAAGCAATTTTCTTCACAAAATAATATCACTAGTAACATAATCTATTCGTTCCGCCAGCAGATACTGCTTTTTATTTTTCTTGATAAAATAATGAATACTTGCTTATTAAACTATTGTAGGTAAATTTAAATAAACTGTTTTAAATTATAAATAATAATGTCCATAAACTAATGTCGACTTTGAAAATAGTTACTAACTGTCACTATAAAATTGCCATGGCGTCACCAGCCATCTTGATTGCAATTTTATTTAAAAATCGCTTTTTATTCAAAACCTGAGCTAGATAGGTATAGGAAACCCTAATATAGTTTGAAAGAGCATTTGAATCTGCTCCGATTTATTTAAAAAAATACAGGGTGTTGCATTTGAAATAACGAAGTTTTTATATAAAATATATCCTTAAAATAGATCAGCTACTTTTGATAGCCGTGTATAAATTTAAGGAACCAATACCATTTTTCAGTAAAGTTTATTTCTTTACCTTTAAACTCAGCATAATAATTCATTCTGAAAAGTAATGTACAAGGTGTTAATAGTCTATTCTATTGTAGTATGCAAATTTAGATATCTTTAAATATCTCAAAAACTAAGGATTTTAAACATATTTAACCTTTATTAATATATACATTTTTTTGGGCCCAAGAATCCAAAAATAAAATAAAATACCGGGTGTTCCATAAGAAAAAATATAACTTTGGTATGGATCTTGGTTCTAAAATACCCTGTATATTTCAAAATAATTTTAAATT